TTGGCAGTACAGAAGCTTTTTAATTTGATTTTTTTTAATGCCCTTGTGTGGAAATATGTTACGAAAGTTAAATTTCCAGAGTTGACAAACTCAAAAGCTTTCAGCGGCTGGCTAATGGATTGCATAAATGTTATACTGTTGGCTGAAGTGAAACTGCCTGTGACTAACTTGATGACAAAGCATTCAGTTAAAAAGGAAAACAAACACTGTCCTGTCGAACAATGTACCTGTGGGCAAATTTTGCAAAATCTTTAAACTATGCCCACAAAGATTTACTTGATAATATTGCAGTTTTATGGCCTTACTATTGGTATTAAAGGGGAATGGCAACTCTCTGACGTGACTGGGCAAGAGTCCTGTAAAGCAGAGTTACTCTATCGCTATCCTTACACTCTTTGGTATATTTTCCCTGGATTTCTGGGTTCTAAATATATTATGCGTTATTTGATGCCAAAGATGTATAATTACATCAGAAGTCAAAATATAGTTTTTTCTTTCTTGGGAGAAAGAAAACCCAAGTCTCTTCCATGCCAGTGTAGTGATTTTTCCACTCATGGGCAATGGCCCAATCTTAACTTAAGCTCAAAGGTCCAAGTTTATGTACTCAAAAAGATAGCTGAACAAATGTTCACTTATAGTCACAGATTTTACACAAGCTCCCCATATGACTCATTATTAGATGCTGCCAGCTGGTGCCCTGACATTACGTAACAGAGCAAGGACAAAATGAACAGCAAATACAACTTGTTCCTTAATTTTTGCTTAGTCACGCTTTTTCTGGTAAGGTTTGTACAATCCTAAGGTCTGCCGATGGTGTGAGTTGGTTATCATTAATTTTATGGGGTTGCTGTTGCCAAAGGATGTATCCTTTCTGTGGAGGAATCAAACAGAGAATTAATATGAACATAATGATTGTATAACCTTACCAATGAATGAAATAAGAGTTGGGGCTAGACTTTATTCTGAAGTTAATGTTGACTCACCAGAAAACATTGGATAAATTTCCTAAACTTTCTGTGCCCATCTGTGAAGTGTCCTCTCTGTACTTCAAGGTTATAACAATCATAGATCCTAGATTTTAGAATTGCTCCACAAGTACCTTATTCAAACATCCAACAATACATACTATGTGCATAGTATGTGCCACTGTTCTAGGTACAAATCCAACATATCCTAAAAGTGAATTCATCTTTCCTTCTGCACACCAGCTTTGACCTCCCATCTTCTCCATCTCAGTGGTGGCATCAACATCAATCTAGTTATCCAAGGCTGAAAACCCTGCAAGTCAACCTCAACTTTTCTCTCTCCCTCAGCCATATATCCATTCAATGGCCAAGTCCCTTCAAGTGTTCCCCTACTAATTTTTTTTTTTTTGAGACAGCATCTCACTCTGTTGCCCAGGCTAGAATGCAGTGGCATCATCATAGCTCACTGCAACCTCAAACTCCTGGGTTCAAAGGATCATCCTGTTTCAGCCTCTTAAGTAGCTGGGACTACCAGCACGCAACACCACGCCCAGATAATTTTTTCTATTTTTAGTAGAGACAGGGTCTCACTCTTGCTCAGGATGGTCTCCAACTCCTAGCAACTGTGCGAGGCCAAGGTGGGAGGATCACTTGAGCTCAGAAGTTCGAAGGCTAATCCTGTCTTAGTGTCTTTGCACTTGTGGTCTCTCTGCCTTGAACACTCTTCCTTCAATTTCACAAAGCTGGCTTCTCATCATTCAGCTCTTAGCTCAAATGTCATCTTTTTAGTGACACGCTCTTCAACCCGTTCTATCCAGAGCTGCTCCTTATCCCACTCTCAATCTCATCACCTGTTTTACTATCTTAGTAGCACTATACTACTTGATAACTTATTTGTCCTCCCTTTTTCTGTATATCTCCATCACTAGAATCTAAGTTCCAGAAGTACAGGGAGCTTATGTTTCTTATTGTCCTCTATTCTAGACGTGAGGGATATGACCAATAAAATCACTCTTTTGTACTCACCTGGCAAAAATCCAACCCTGGTAAAATCCAATTCTCTTACTCTTCCCCCTACCTGCACACAACATGCACCATGCTGATTGGCCTCATGACTATAGACCCCAACTGGCCCTTGCTACTGCTTGGCAATGCTACCTACCATATGTCTCCAGTCAATCCACACTCTACTCCCCTAGACAGCTATTTCACATCTTTCCCTCCTCAGACCTCCAAAACTCCCATCCCCCTCTTCAAGCTCATCTGATGACACTGCTTCTTGTTTCACTTGGACAATAGAAACAATCAGGAGAGATCTTCCGTGTGCTCTCACCAAATCTGTGTCCTAGGTCTTCTACTTGTTCTGGATGAACTGTCTATGCCAGTCCCTCTGCCTGTGCATTAGATCCCACCTCCTCTCACTTAAGGACATCATTCCTGTATCATTGGTTTTTCTCTTTACTAGCTCATTCCCATCAGCACTCAACATGCTCTAATATCACCATCTTAAAATAAAACAACCCTCCCTTGATTCCTTCTCTCCTTTCAGTTGCTGTTCCCAGTTTTTTGCTCCCTTTTACAGCAAAACTCTTTGAAAGAGGTATGAGATGACCTGTGTCCACTTTCTTTCCTCCCATTCTCTTTTTAATCAACTCCAATCAGGCTATTGACTTCTCTAATACACAGAAATTATTCTTATCAAGATCACCAATGACCATCACATTGCCCAATCCAGTGATTATTTCTCTATGCTATCTTTACTCCACCTTTTGGCTGCATTTGACACAGTCACTCCCTTCTTGAAACTGTTCTTCACTTGGCTCAGAGATCCCGTGCTCTTAGTGTTCATACTGTCTCTTTGGCTGCTCTTCTTAGCCTGTTCTACTTCTTCTTCTTCATCTTGACTTCTGAATATTAGTTGCCCAAGGCTTAGTCTCTTTATAGTTCCCATCTTTATAGTTCCTAAGTCATCCCACAGGTAGTCCCATCCACTACCAAGGCTTCAGTTCCATCCTAAAATTTTGACTTCTGTATTTACATATTCAGTTTCAACCTGTCCCCTGAACTCTAGACTAGACTATCCAATTATCTAATCAAAATTTCTCTTGGATATGTAATAACTGTCTTATGTTACCCTGTCCAAAATGAATTCTTTTTTTCTTCAAAAATGAACAGTTGAGGTTCCCCAAATGTCCTTATTCTCAATCATTCTCCCTCCATATGGCAACTCCATTCTACCAGTTGCTCAGGCCAAATCCCTGAAATCATCATCTGCTCTTCCATTTCTCCAGATGCTCAATCAACGAATCCCATAGGGTCCATCTTTTCAATATATCTAGTATCTGACTGCTACTCGCACTCCACTGTCACCATGCTGGCACCATGATGATGTCACTATCATTTCTTGCCCAGACAATTGCAATAGTCTCCAAACTGGTCTTCTACTTCTACCCTGCCCCCTCTACAGACTGTTTTTATTCAGCATCCAGAGTAAAACTTCACTAGCAGAACTGGAGTCTCTCAGCTGCCTTTCTTAGCTGTATTTTAGATGCCAGACTCCATATACCAACAGTCTACTTAGCTTATTAAGTAGGACTCTATCTCTGGTGTTCTGTTAAAACAAACATGCTTTAAGTTAAAATAATAAACAGCCTTTTGCTGATGTGGTAGGTGGTTGATATTGCTGCTTCAGCAGATAAGTCTACCAGTAGTCTGGAGGGGAGGAAATAAGTCAAACGTGGAGACCAGGATGCACAAACCACTCATGAGTAGCCACATAGGATAGAAGGCACTCTAGAGAAGCCACCAAAGAATACAAATCTATCTTAAGGTTTTGAGAAAACACCAAAGTAGGAAAGCCGCTGTAAAAAAAAATCACTGCAGCCCCATCACATGACTCTTTTACTTTTTTTTCAGCATTGATCCTACCTGATTTTTATTTGTTTATTGATTGTCTTCTCCTTTTAAAATATAAGATCCATATAGCACTATAAAGAGTGTTCGGCACATAGTAGGTGGCTCAATCAGTACTTATGAAATGACTCAAGAAACAAAATTTATTTCAGAGGAAGGTGAGGATGGGGATGGGGGTGCAATTTTAGCGTGAGTTTACTAAAGGGGGAATCACCGAGGTTAACCTAAATGAGAGTAGTATTCTGAGGACATTACCCAGACAATAATATGGTTCCTGTTCCAGTTTTGCCAATTACCATTCCAAGTCGCAATATCCTCATCTGGCCTGGCCCCTGGCCAGAGAGACAATTATAGTACCTACTTACAGGGTTGTGAGAGTTAAATGAGAAAATATATGTGAAGCCCTTAGGGCAGCACCTAGAACTACATCAAAAATGCAGCTATTTTGTTGTTATCATGATATTTAGACTAGTGGTATACATAAATCCACTCAAAGCCGATGTTGAGTCATGGTGAACCCTAACTTAACAGGTTGCTTCCATCTGCTCCCCACAATTCACTCGAGATATTCACTGCAGCAATGACTTTCGTGATTTTAATTTTACTACCATTCAGAGGTACCTAACTTTGGCCTGCCGCTGATAGGGAACTACAGGGTCTAAACCAATTTATCTCCAGCGTAAACCAAACTAAGCATGCTACCCTTTACAATCTTGCTGTGAATCCCTGCAGGGCAGGGAAGAGAAGTCTTACTGAATTCTGTCCTCCCAGAGCCTGGCGGGGTATCTGACACATGACAGTCAAAATTGATTAGGTAATAAATGAATGAATACATGCCGCCTTTTTTCCTGAAAAACATTTCAGGCAACCAGTCGCCTTACAGGCGCCTAAGCACAATCAAGCACACTGGCAAGACCAGGGCTGCCCGCCCAGAGCCCTGCACTGCAGGAGGTCCCGAATGAGCCACTAGGGCAACTCCGAGCACTGGCGCCGAAACCCGCGCAGGACGCGCCCCCTGGCGGCCGCTGCGCCCTCAGGTCGGCCCGGTGCGACGCGGGCCCGCCCTCGAGCGTCGCGAAGGAAGAGCGCGCCGGGACTTGCAGGCGGAGCCTCTTCGGGAGGATGGAGCGCACGGGGGAAGCGGCCCGCCGGGGCGACGTGCCCAGCTTCTTACTGGCCCTGCAGACTTCTGAAGGCAGACCCGAGGCGGCGCGGGCGCGGGTGCAGGAGCAGGACTTGTGGCAGTGGGGGCTGACAGGTGGGCTCCGGGCGAACTTGCGCCCAGGCCGGCCAACTCGCTGGGACGGGCCTCACCCGGGCCGGCGTGCCCTGGGCGGACCGCCCGGTGGGTTGCTTGCCTGCAGCGGCCGGGGCCTTCCCTTCCTGCTGAGGGAGAGTGGGCGGAGAGGAGCCCACGCCCAGCGCGGCGCGGGCGGGCGGGCGGGCGGGCGCGGAATGAATGAGGTTGCGCGCCGGGAGCCGGGCCTGGCCCGCGGGAGTGGAAACTTGGTAAGGTCCGCCCAAGTGCAGGCCTCCGAAGGCGCGCTGGGCGTCCTGGCGCCCCGGTGGCGTAGATTTCAAGTCGCTGTTCCGGTGGGTTCGGGTCCCGGCCTGGGGTTGGGGGGACGGGCGATTATTGGGTGCTTCGGTAAAACTATCAGAACTCATCTCCCAACTTCAGTTTTCTTCTCCGTTGACTGTGCACGTGCAGGTATTTGATAATTCGCCACTGATTAACTCTCCGCCAATGCTGTATATTGAAGTACGCTGCCAAGCAAAGTTTATCGGCTCCCCACCGCACGTAACTGTCCGTGTTATTTCCACTAGCCCTTCCCGAGGGTCTTCGGGGCGCGAGGCTTGCGTTCCCCCGCGGTCTTCGGCGTCTGGGCCGGCCGGCTCGCCACAAAACCTCCCGGCCTCGTTCTCCTCATTTATGTTAATACATGGGGAGCGTAGTGCGGGCCTTGGCTGTGTGACAGAGTCGTGCATCGGTAATGGTCAATAATCCAGGCGTTCAATCATTGTTTATTGAATTCTGAGAGCGTACTCTTAGGCGCTGGCCACAGAGAGGAGCAAAACAAATATGGGCCCTGCCCACCCGGAGTTCGAGACTAGTGAGTGACAGTGCTTTTAAAAGTATAAGCAAGTATGTATTGAACTAATACTGTGTGCTCAATACCACGAAAAGTGTGAAGTTTGTTATGAAACTAAAGAAGACGAATGGGGAGGATAAGTCCCTGAGTCTGTAAGAATGTGTATCCAATTTAAGCATGAGTTTATGGACCGGCCTTTTTATGTTTGACATATCTTGACTAAAGGGTATACGTTTGTGTGTTTGCTTATTTCCTTGCAAGTGCTTTTGGGAACGGTTCTTTGAGAACCTGTGTGAGAGAGGGCTCGGAAATATGTGTACGTTGATACTCAGCTGTAGATAATACTCCAGGAGCAACAGGCGTATGCACAGGTGTTGTTTCCCTGAAAATGAGTAGGCAGGAGGTTGCAAATTGGAGTGGGTGGAATGGAGTAAGTGCAGAAGTGTATAGGC